GGAGAATAAAACACGAGGAACCAGAAACCCGGAGAATAAAACACGAGGAACCAGAAACCTGGAGAATAAAACAGGAGGAACCAGAACCAGGTTGGTGTTTATTATAAATTAATCTTTAATGAGTTTGTGGTATATTAGGCTAACAAAGAGTTAACAGGGTGCCTGCAGATCCTTAAAAAGTTTTCTATTCCTTATTATAAAACGGTTAGTTCCATTCCTCGATTCTGATTGGTCATCAGCTGTTTTATTCACGATACAGCACGGCTTTGCCTGCTTCACCCAATGGTTCTGTGTATCACTGAGCAACACCCTTAGCAACCACCCTTAGCAACATAAACAATCAATAATATAGCATCAAAACTGTTTACTGTTTTATGTATTTCGGCAGAATTATTATGAGTGACCCCTGCTTATGTTGCATCTTTCATCTTTAATTGAGACCCCGCCCTTCCTCGTCTAATAAACTTTTTTTTTTTTTGAAGTATAACAAAAAATTACAAGTTTACAGAACAAATTGGCATACAACTTACATTCAAGGACAACAGTTTTAAGAGGGGCTTAGACTTACACAGAATAAAAAAGGAAAAAAAATACCATTAAACAAAGAACATTCATTCTTTAAACCATCTATATTAATAAATATAGATTAAACACAGGGGATAAAAAAAACATTATAATAAATGATATTTATCAAATAAATCTAACAAGATTCCGGCTTTTTTATTTTTTGAGTATTGTCTCAAATAATTCTATAAACATGGGGGTGATTTAAAAAATCTACATTTGTGAATAAATTGACAGGTTCAATTCAACCACATTTCCCTCTTTTAACCAATGTTGCACTTTGTCCCAGAAGATACTAATATATTTACAAGCCAAAAAAAAATATGCTCTGTATTATCTGGAGATGCGTTACAAAATGTACATAATATCGTTTCAAAATTAAATCTAACCCTTAGAAACTCTCCAGAAGGGTAAATACAATATAACATTTTAAAGTGAGTTTCTTTCATTTTGGGGTGAACTGGAAATTTTAAATATGAGGTTCTAAGGCTGAAATTACTGTGAAAAACAGTTTTGGATGGCATGCAAACCCATGTTTAGGAGTAAAAGCATTGT